AGGGTTGCGTGGCCATTGCGCCCCCGCTGCTCAGGGCTCCCTTCGGGGTCAGGCGGGGGGTTCCGTGCGCCGGAGGGCACTTTCCATCGTCGTGCGGATGGCGCAGAGAGAGAGAGAGAGAAAGAATCCGAAGAGGATTCAGAAGGAACCGCGGTGCTTCGGGGCTGTCGGGTGCAGCAGGGCATCGCGGGGGAGGCACAGGTCAGAGGCACCCGAGCAGGTCGCCGTGTCGGGGGGGTCTGACCCCCGCGTGGCCACCTTTTCCCTTGGCATTTACTGGGAACCGAGCGTCTCCCCGCTCGGCCGGTAGTGCCAGTGGAGCCCTGTGCCCTGGACCCCCACTCGCCCCGGACCCACCTCCGTGTGCGGTGGCAGCGGCTGGGAAGGCGCCTTCGGAGAGCGGGGTTTTGCATCGGGGGGGGGGGGGGGTCATTACACACCGTTAGCACAGAGCTGGGAGGCTCTGCTAGAGACAAATCCTCGACGCTCTCTGTAGCAGGGAGAAGTGAGCCCCCCCCGCCCTTCCCGGGGCTGCCGGCCCCTCCGCTTCCGCAGCCACCCTCTGCATCCCCATCAGGAGCGGGCGCAGGGGTGGCACTTGGCTGCGGGCATGGCATTCGTGGGGATTGAAGAGCTGCCAGATGCGATGCAGTGCACCTTGACGGTGGTGAAACAAGCCTTTGGACGCAGCAGAATAGTGGGGGGGTTAAGAAAAAAAGAAAGAAAAACGCACTTTGTAGAATGAGGGTGCAGCTGTGAATGAGGGTGCAGCTGTGAATTTTTTTCCAGCATCGTGTTCTGTATCTGTTGTAACTGCAGGTATCCCTCGTGAAACGCTGAGTATTCAAGAATTAATTAGCGTTTACTTTTTGAAAAGAGCTTCCCATCCTCGATGAGTATCTAGGCAGTGCAGATAATCTGGAGTACATACAAACCAGCCTAACCAGAAAATCCTGGCCTGGGCACCGCATCCCTGTTACCCTGTACGAAAATGAGGGGGCAGAAGTAAGAAGAAGACAAGGTCCAGCCTTCTTCCAGCTCTGGAAGTTTTTTAAATGCCGTAAAAGATGAACGCCAGGGTGAATGCGGGCATCGTCTGTCCAGGTTTTCGTGCCGTGTCCATCAGCCTGGCACGCACGTGGCCTCCACAGGGACCTGCACCGCAAGATTTTGGTCCTTACGCTTGATTTGCATCCCTGCTTCTGAGATCAGCCTTCTCTGTACCGGTATTGATTTATCTCCCAGGACCCTTTTTAACCTTACTAGCCAAAAAACCACAGGACTGGGGCTTCTCACGGCTTTTCCCTTTGGCTGAGTTATCTCACGGGGACTGTACTTGACGCGAGGTGACGAGGTGGCGACGGCAAAGGGGAGGTTGAGGCAGAGATCTGCACCAGCAGAGCCCGCTTACACCTCCCATGCACGTTTTAGGATTTGTTCTTGGTTGGGGTGTTGGGTTTTTTTTCCACTCCAATCTGCTGAGCGCTGCAGTAGGGGGCTGTTGAAAGAGATGGAAATAAATAAAAGATTAATAGGACTTCAAAGTGAGTTTGATTCTCTCAAGATAAGTGTGATTTATAATCTACACTCCCGGGCTGGGGGGAGCGATTCCTATCTTCCCCCCACCTTAGGGCAGAGCTGTTGTTTGTATAACAGACAAGCCAACACCCCATCTCGGATGGGCTTTATTTCAGTGCCATTGCTGCCCCCGGTCCCTAACACCCCATCTCGGATGGGCTTTATTTCAGTGCCATTGCTGCCCCCGGTCCCTAACACCCCATCTCGGATGGGCTTTATTTCAGTGCCATTGCTGCCCCCAGACCCTAACACCCCATCTCGGATGGGCTTTATTTCAGTGCCATTGCTGCCCCCGGTCCCTAACACCCCATCTCGGATGGGCTTTATTTCAGTGCCATTGCTGCCCCCAGTCCCTAACACCCCATCTCGGATGGGCTTTATTTCAGTGCCATTGCTGCCCCCAGACCCTAACACCCCATCTCGGATGGGCTTTATTTCAGTGCCATTGCTGCCCCCAGACCCTAACACCCCATCTCGGATGGGCTTTATTTCAGTGCCATTGCTGCCCCCAGACCCTAACACCCCATCTCGGATGGGCTTTATTTCAGTACGCCGCAGGGGGGGCATTTTGGCCGCGTGCGGTGGTGCTCTTGAAGGTACTGGGCTGGTGTTTAAAGGAGAACAGAAAATGGCCAGCCTGCTTTAGGGGACGTCGAGGCCTGAAGCTTGCTGTAAAAGCCGTCGTTAGGGTACCCACGGGGGAGGGAGCATCCCATGGGGGGCGGTGTGGTGAGAAACGCAGCGCTGCCAGGCACCAGCCCTCCGGGCCCGCTGCTTGTGGGAATGCTTGGCCCGGGTCACTTTGGGTCTTTCCCTCCAGACACGCGTGCGTGCAGATGCACGCGGGCACGAAGGCGTTTGTAGCCTGCTCCGAGTTGGGGTCGAAGGCTTTCCGTGTCTCAGAAAACGCACCGCGTGTGGCTAACGAAGTGAGAGGGCTGCCTGAGTCTTCTGGCAGGTGATTGAAACCGGAGAAGGGAATTCTCCAGGAAAACAGGCTACGGAAAGGCCCTTGCAAGGTGGTGGTTTGTGTAGCCGTAGCGTTGGAAAGCGTCGGTGTTTTCGGAGCAGCCCCCTCGCTGCAGCGCGGGGAGGATCGCGGGTGGGAGGGCTGCTCCGTCCCATCCCACCCCATCCCCGCCTCCTGTGCAGGGAGAGGGGAGAGGGCTTTGGGTCAGTGACGGGGATAAGAGACAGATTTTCTTTCACATGGGGATGGGCATGGTTTGGGCTGGCTCACTAAGCAAGCCTGGAATTTGCCAGTTGGCAGGAAAAAAACGCTGCCAATCTCAAGACGCAAGAGCGATGCTGTAGTGGGTTGTAAAACAGAAGAAAAGGGTTGATGGTTTTTATCATTCCGTTGTGAGACATACCATAGGTCCTTCCAGATCTCTTGAGAACCTAAGGGACAAGAAATGTATTGGAACCAATCTCAAGAATAGAAAGAAACCTTTATGCCAGTATGTCAGCGGTGACGTGGCGGTGCCTTCATGGCATCTTTTTTCTTTGCATCTGAATTCAACGCTTCAGTGGAAAATTCCTCCAAACCATTAGCTCCTGCTTATTACCCCGTCTGCTTCTTGACATGGTGAAGCAAGAGGTGGTCATCAAGAAGTTGGGCCACATAACCCAGAGGTTGTCCCTCTGCAAGTTGGCACACCCAACTGGAGGCATCTTGAGTAGCCCGGTAACGGAGGTGGGCTGGGGGCGGAGGTGGGCTGCTCCAGGGCTCGCCACCTCCGCGTCGGTCTGTCTGTCTGCATGGGTCATGGACAGAGTCCGGGGAGGCCGGCAGGAAAAGGGAGGGACCCCGAGCGAGACGTGGCATCTGCCAAAGCACCTTTCCAGCTTCCAGCCGCTCTCGGGAGCTCTGCGCGGAGGGCGGTGGGCGGTTGCCAACCAGAAGCGGTATCAGATGTTTCTTTGTCTCCACGACATGGGGTTCATCTTCTGTGGAGCGAGGTGTGGGTGGGGATGAAGAAGGGCACCCGTGTCACTAGGCGTTCCCTGTCACAGGTGTGGGGACAAAGATACTTCTTCTCCTTGGCAGGATGTCGTCAGGATTTTATTGCCCTTTCGGCATTGAGATTTTGGGAGGTGGAACGGCCGAGCTGTAAGCACCCCATAACGACCGACTCGCTCTTAAAACCAAATAACGCCGGTTCCAGTCTTTTCTTAGTGTTTGAGAAATGAGACTGTCTCACCAAGGAGAGAGCTTTGGTCTCTGCTGCTTTACACTTACTTTCGGTTATTCACATTCTCTCTAGGAGCAAAGGATTTTCTCAAGTTCCCCTTGGCAGGATTCCCTTTTATCTCCCTCACCGCGGTCCCGACTCGCTGTTAACAATTATCCTATATTATCTTGTAAGTCTGATTAGAAACATCCCTCCGTCTTTTTATCAGCCCGAGCACTTACTTTTTGAGAACAAAGCGCGATTTGCGGTTCTCGGCCAGGTTTATCGCCCCTTGCGCTCCGGTGTGAGGGGGTGCCCGTGCCCGAGGAGGTGGCAAGCGGAGCGTTCCGTGCGGACACGCTGTCCGTCCGTCCCCACAGCCCCCCGTCGGTACCGTCGTGTGGGACCGGGGAGGCAGCTCCAGTGTTGCTGCTCCGGGGGCTTTTGTATTAAAGTCTCCTGCAACTCCTGACGGTTTTGCTCTTCAGGTGCTTAAATCTTCTTGGCGGGCTCCTTGATTTAACGAAGGAGCAACCCCGCTCCGCAGAGCGTGTCTGTGAGCCACGGGGAGGGGAGGGATGGACGCGTCTCCATCGCGCCCGTGCTGTCAGCTCCGATGATGGCTTTACTGGAGTGTTTAATAAAACCCTTATTGGGATATTACCCGGAGTCACGGCGTTGGCAGGGATGGTGCCCCTTCGGGTTTGGGACTCGGCGGTTAATGAAATCCGGCGAGCGCTTATTTGGA